AACAACCATTGATACAACCACCATTGATGCAACGACCGTTGATACAACAACCATTGATACAACAACCATTGATACAACCACCATTGATACAACAACCATTGATACAACAACCATTGATACAACAACCATTGATACAACCACCATTGATGCAACAACCATTGATGCAACAACCATTGATACAACAACCATTGATACAACAAACATTGATACAACAACCATTGATACAATAACCATTGATACAACAAACATTGATACAACAACCATTGATACAACCACCATTGATACAACAACAGCTACAGATACAACAACCATTGCTACAACAACCATTGATACAACAAACATTGATACAACGACCATTGATACAACCACCATTGATGCAACGACCGTTGATACAACAACCATTGATACAACAACCATTGATACAACCACCATTGATACAACAACCATTGATACAACCACCATTGATACAACCACCCACCATTGATACAACCACCATTGATACAACAACAGCTACAGATACAACAACCATTGATACAACAACCATTGATGCAACAACCATTGACACAACAACCATTGATACAACCACCATTGACACAACCACCATTGATGGCAACAACCATTGATTGATACAACCACCATTGATGCAACAACCATTGATGCAACAACCATTGATACAACCACCATTGATGCAACAACCATTGATGCAACAACCATTGATACAACAACCATTGATACAACCACCATTGATACAACAACCATTGATACAACAACCATTGATACAACAACCATTGATACAACCACCATTGATACAACCACCATTGATACAACCACCATTGATACAACAACCATTGATACAACCATCATTGATGCAACCACCATTGATACATCAACCATTGATACAACAACCATTGATACATCAACCATTGATACAACAACCATTGATACAACCACCATTGATACAACCACCATTGATACAACCACCATTGATACAACAACCATTGATACAACAACCATTGATACAACCACCATTGATACAACAACCATTGATACAACCACCATTGATACATCAACCATTGATACAACCACCATTGATGCAACAACCATTGATATAACCACCATTGATACAACAGCCATTGACGCAACCACAATTGATACAACAGCCATTGATACAACAACCACATACAACAACAGCTACAGATACAACCACCATTGATACAACAACCATTGATACAACAACAGCTACAGATACAACCACCATTGATACAACAACCATTGATACAACAACCACTGATGCAACCACCATTGATACAACCACCATTGATAGTTAACCAATTATTGATACAACCACTATTGATACAACAACCATTGATACAAATCCACCATTGATACAACAACAATTGACGCAACCACCATTGATACAACCACCATTGATACAACAACCATTGATGCAACCACCATTGATACAACCACCATTGATACAACCACCATTGATACAACAGCCATTGATACAACAACCATTGATACAACAACCATTGATACAACAACCACTGATACAACAACCATTGATACAACCACCATTGATACAACCACCATTGATACAACCACCATTGATACAACAACCATTGATACAACCACCATTGATACAACCACCATTGATACAACAACCATTGATACAACAACCATTGATACTACAACCATTGATACAACAACCATTGATGCAACAACCATTGACACAACAACCATTGATACAACCACCATTGATACAACCACCATTGATACAACAACCATTGATACAACAACCATTGATACAACCACCATTGATACAACAACCATTGATACAACAACCATTGATACAACAACCATTGATACAACCACCATTGATACAACAACCATTGATACAACAACCATTGATACAACAACCATTGATACAACCACCATTGATACAACAACCATTGATACAACAATACACTGATACAGCAACCATTGATGCAACCACCACCCACCATTGATACAACCACCATTGATACAACCACCATTGATACAACAACCATTGATACAACCACCATTGATACAACTACCATTGATACAACCACCATTGATACAACAACCATTGATACAACCACCATTGATACAACAACCATTGATACAACCACCATTGATACAACAACCATTGATACAACAACCACTGATACAACAACCATTGATGCAACCACCATTGATACAACCACCATTGATACAACTACCATTGATACAACCACCATTGATACAACCACCATTGATACAACAACCATTGATACAACCACCATTGATACAACTACCATTGATACAACCACCATTGATACAACAACCATTGATACAACAACCATTGATACAACCACCATTGATACAACAACTTGACGCAACCACCATTGATACAACCACCATTGATACAACAACCATTGATGCAACCACCATTGATACAACCACCATTGATACAACCACCATTGATACAACAGCCATTGATACAACAACCATTGATACAACAACAGCTACAGATACATGATAACAACAACCACCTGATACAACAACCATTGATGATACAACCACCATTGATACAACCATTGATATTGATACAACACCATTGATACAACCATTGACGCAAAAGCACCATTGATACAACCACCATTGATACAACAAACTATTGATACAACAACCATTGATACAACAAACCATTGATACAACCACCATTGATACAACCACCATTGATACAACCACCATTGATACAACAACCATTGATACAACAACTATTGATACAACAACCATTGATACAACCACCATTGATACAACCACCTTGATACAACCACCATTCATACAACAACCATTGATGTAACCACCATTGATAAACCACCATTGATACAACAACCATTGATACAACAACAGCCACAGATACAACCACCATTGATACAACAACAGCTACAGATACAAACAACCATTGATACAACAAACTATTGATACAACCACCATTGATACAACAACCATTGATACAACCACCATTGATACAACAACCATTGATACAACAGCTACAGATACAACAACCATTGATACAACAACCATTGATACAACCACCATTGATACAACAACCATTGATACAACAACCATTGATACAACAACCATTGATACAACAACCATTGATACAACCACCATTGATACAACAACCATTGATACAACCACCATTGATACAACAACCATTGATACAACAACCATTGATACAACAACCATTGATACAACAACCATTGATACAACAACCATTGATATAACCACCATTGATACAACAACCAATGACACAACAACCAATGATACAACCACCATTGATACAACAACCATTGATACAACAACCATTGATACAACAACCATTGATACAACAACCATTGATACAACAACCATTGATACAACCACCATTGATACAACCACCATTGATACAACCATCATTGATACAACAACCATTGATACAACCACCATTGATACAACAACCATTGATACAACCACCATTGATACAACAACCATTGATACAACAACCATTGCTACAACAACCATTGATACAACCACCATTGATACAACAACCATTGATACAACCACCATTGATACAACAACCATTGATACTACAACCATTGATACAACAACCATTGATACAACAACCATTGATACAACAACCATTGATACAACCACCATTGATACAACCACCATTGATACAACAACCATTGATACAACCACCATTGATACAACAACCATTGATACAACAACCATTGATACAACCACCATTGATACAACAACCATTGATACAACAACCATTGATACAACAACCATTGATACAACAACCATTGATACAACCACCATTGATACAACCACCATTGATACAACAACAGCTACAGATACAACCACCATTGATACAACAACCAATGACACAACCACCATTGATGCAACAACCATTGATACAACAACATCTACAGATACAACAACCATTGATACAACAACCATTGATACAACTGCTACAGATTCAACAACAATTAATACAACAACTGGAGATACAACAACCATTGATACAACAACAACTACAGATACAACAACCATTGATACAACAACAACTACAGATACAACAACCATTGATACAACAACTACAGATACAACAACCATTGATACAACAACTACAGATACAACAACCATTGATACAACAACAACTACAGATACAACAACCATTGATACAACAACTACAGATACAACAACCATTGATACAACAACTACAGATACAACAACCATTGATACAACAACTACAGATACAACAACCATTGATACTACAACTACAGATACAACAACCATTGATACAACAACTACAGACACAACAACCATTGATACAACAACTAGAGATACAACAACCATTGATACAACAACTACAGATACAACAACCATTGATACAACAACAACTACAGATACAACAACCATTGATACAACAACTACAGACACAACAACCATTGATACAACAACAACTACAGATACAACAATAAAATAAATATAACTTACAAAATGTTCAACACAAGATTTACCAAATTTTTCCAACGTCAGGGCCATAAAGTATAGGTAAAAGGCTATTTTAATTTAAGTATATATACACTTATCCAGGAGAACAATTATTAAAAAAAATAAGGTCATTCTTTTGTGGTTCATGTTGTATAATACAGAGGGCGTCTTTGTTTACCTTTTGAGTTAGTGTCTGGTTCCTCCTATAGGTGACTTGTATATAAGAACACGTAAATTTATATTTTTTTCATGACATAAACTTTTGTTGTTAACTTTTGTAGGAATTATACAGTAAATATTAAGTCATGTTTCAGTCTGGTTGGATTTTTGTCTTTACTTGTTTATGATACGGAATCAATTTGTATTCATGATACTGATTGGTTTAATTTATATATAGATATTTATTCAGTGTTTTATACCATCTTTGGGGTTGAAAATAAAGAAACGAATAACAAATTTGGTTTTACTTTTAACTTTACAGCAACAATATTATCAAGTACTCAGACAAGGCGCTAGCGTTAGGTTTGTTGGTCTGCATTAATGTTAAGTGAAATTCAATAGGAAAAATATCCACATTCATAGATCGGGGAGGATTGTCGACGATATATTCCGGTGTAAAGAAACACATAGGTGCCACATCTCTGAAAATATGCCACCCACTGTATCAGGTATGAATGCAACTGTATGTATATATAAAACTGTATAGTTAAGTGTATGAGGGGTGTATGAGGCTATATTAGGGTGTATGATAGTATACAGTATAAAGGTGTATAAAGGCGTATGAGGGTATGTTAAAATGTATGTTGTATGAAGGTGTATTAAGGTGTCTGAAGAATAAAAAAACACCTTTGTAAATCTTACTTTTATATACACCATTAACAATAACAGCAATACACTTCATAGTAGCTTGTATATTATAATATAGAGATCACATAATCAGATCTATATGTTTACAGGGATCCATCACAAGGGGATAAAAGTTGGTACCATATTTAGCGCGTGTGTGTGTGTGTGTGTGTGTACTTGTATTCTCGTGATTCCTTCCTTTACTTTATCCCGGAATAAATCACTAAAAATCACACCCTATCTTGTCACTAATATAAACCACATCACTCACCTGGTTATAGACAGTCGTTCACTAATGGACGGTCACAAGAGGAGTGAGTTGCATCCCAAGGTCCGTCCATAACAATAACTTATCCCGCCCCTCATCTATCTACCAACCAATCACAAGCCTTCACCAACTGGCTGATAAACAACTGCCTAACAAGCCACTACAGTAGTTCGGTTAATAGTTGCACCGAACACTGACTCAGTAGATAGGTTTACATAACATTAAACATTTATTTCTATCATCGACTTATGAATAACTATTTACTACACTTATACATAATACATAAATACAAAAGTTATAGGCACGTAATGAGTTTTTTTCATCAATTTATTAAGTTTAATATATTTATACATCAATTCTTTATCATTATTCCTTATTAACGCCTTTTTTAGCGTAAGAAAAAAATGTAGAGGACATTTCTAACACGTGTATGTACTGTATGTGTGGAAAAAACTCACACAGCCTCTACACACCCAAACCCCTTATTCTGCATCCTTAAAGCATTCAACATCACTATCACAGGAAATTATTGACAGAAAACCCAGTATAAGTAAACTCTTAATGTCAATTTACACTCGTCAACAGGTAAGATAAGGTGTTTTTGTTTATATATTTTGTTTACACCTCTGGACACCTTTTTTGTTTATCTGTTATATCTACAGTACTCTTCTTCGAGTTTTTGTGTGTCGTGGATCAAGGGTTTAGAGACATCTGTGAGAAGGGAGAAGTGAGAAGAAGTGTTGTGAGATATGCAAGTGTAGAGGGAGATATGTGTAGAGAAAGAAAGAAAGGTGTAAATAAAAAGATATAAAACAAGTGTAGATAAGAAATGGGCAAAGAAGGAGCATCAACACACACACACAAGATTAGATACAAATTAACACAGAGGTGATATAAGATAGGTTCTCATTTGATACGCATCCGTTTTCTATGTATCGGATTCTCCTGACGTCTTAATTGTGACGAAGGATATAGCGAAATCCTTGGGCACGGAGGTGGGTTTAAACTTGACCATGACAACCAGGAAAGCCAAAGACACCAAAATGCCCAGGAATATCATCCCGAAGGCCAAGCCAGTCATGGCACCTAGTGTAAAATAACACATTAGTTTCCCTTGTGTAAAATCTACATAGAAAATGAGAAAGAATGGTAGGTAATAGTTACTAATACCACGGATAACTATTCCAATTTGATTTCTTATTAAAACTTCATTTATATTCATGTTTAAACAAATAATTCACCTTAAGATTCTTTTTTTTATAAATATTACTTAAATTTTACTTATATATTATACCTTGATATATTATATAGATATAGAAAGTTGACTGACCTGGTGTGTAAGGATTGGCATTCCTACGTTGAAGAGCAAGCCAGCTAGCGTAGTCCAGGTCCCCAAAGAGATTACCTGCCAGGGAGGGTCAAGGAATGCGTGAGGAGAGTAGTTGACCTTTACGATGGCTGATAATTGTTATGTGGACAAGATATATTCACGATTGACCAGTTTCAGTTTCGGTTATACAGCCATTCGACCATATATACTCACGTGAATAATGTTCACACTTGGTAGCGGTGGACAGCTTCAGACCAGACTCTCCCAGATGGTGAGTACCGATAAAGCAGAGGTTAGTTTTGCCTGCGTTCTCCTTCCCACACACACCGTACTCGTTCGTGGTGCAGCCAGTACAAAAGTCGAAGCTCTCACACGTTTCATCCGGGTCTGTGGAGAGTGAGCGGAAAGGTGTGTTAGCTTGTGTGTGAAAGCGAGAGAGAAAGAGTGAGACTGTATGTAGGGTGGAGAGGGACAGATTACAATATGTTTTCCTAGTCTCTCTCTCTCTCTTAGCACCCCTCTAGAACCCACTGACACCACCTAACCCCTCTTAGAACTCCCCGACACATTTTAGCGCCTTATGACACCGCCTATTACCCCTCTGACACCCGTATCTCTCTTACCGTCTATGCAGAACTTGGCACAACTTGAGGCATCAGATTGAACGGCAGCCAGTTTGTGTTTGCTGGATGGCATCCCTTGGTTAGCATACCTCGAGAAGATGGACTCTGTGTTTTCTGTTGGATACACACCACTGGTCAGGTTAGGTTAGGTTACTGGACCACTACAGGAAGGGGCAACTGTTTATAGAGCTGGATAAAGTGAACAACAAGGCCAGATGATGAAGAATGATCAGAGAAAAGTTGAGTAAAAAAAAAATGTGAATTTTTCGATGAATGTGAGGAACTACCTGACGGAATACCTTAGTAGTTGATGATATAATATGGTGAAAAGAAAGAGGGAGAATCGAGGAATAATTTCAAGGAGAAACTTAATAAAAGATAAAAACAAAAGTTAGAGAAGACCTTTTTAAAAATATATTCGAACTCATAGGGAGTCGAGGAACTACCTGAAGGAGAAGGAAGAACTTACTGGAGAAGTGGATGCAGGAGGAGTTAACGCGGTAGTTATCACCACTAGCCACGTCCAAGAAGTGTTCTTTATGCAGGTGACACGACAGTTCCTCATAACACCACTCGAAGCTCTGACACTTGATTGTGGTCTCCGTCGAGCAGTACCTGAGAGGAAGGGGGAGATGAGTGGGTAGGTGATGAGTGAGGAGAGATGAGGAGGTGAGAGGGGAGATGATGAGTGGTAGAGGGCAGGAGGTGAGGGAGACAGAGTAAAACATACATAAATACATACATACATACATACATACATACATACATACATACATACATACATACATATACAGAGGAAAAACTCACATGGCGCAGTCTTCAATGTGGTCGACGTTGGGGTAGATCGGACCAGATGTGTTGAGTGCCACGCCCCCAAGGATAGGGTAATAGTCCACCAGATATGACCCTGATAACAATGATGCCAAGTAAGTGTCATAGCTCTGGCACTAAAGTAATTAAAGTGTCATCATTAGGTCAGTTAAGTATGACAAATATAGCTAAGGTAAGTATAAATGTCAGGTAAGTGTTTTATTACTAGGTTAATGAAGTTTTCTAAGTAGGTTATTTCACCTTTTAAAAAAAATAAGGTGTATTATGTAGTATAGTTATTTACATGTGTGTGTGTGTGTGTGTGTGTGTGTGTGTAATAATGTAACTAAACTTGACAAAACCTCACACACACACCCACACACCCACACACACACACACACACACACACACACACACACACACACACACACACACACACACACACACACACACACACACACACACACACACACTACAAACAAACAAACAATCACTAACTGGAGTAGATATAAGCTTCAGTGTGAGGAATCAGTTGAGTCTGATTAATCTCCAAGAAATGTTTAGCCAGGAAGAGGCAGATCATCTCTTGGCTCAGGTGGACGACGGTCTCACAGCGGTAGGCCTTCCAGTGTACACAGAGGGCCAGGCAGTCGTCTAGGGAGGTAACCTATGTGGGAGGAGAGGAAGGAGTGATGAGAGAGAGAGAGAGAGATCCAAAACAAACTATAATGCTATCAAGTAAACTGACACAACATTGCATAACTCACCTAACCTAACCAAACCTTACCCAGTTAAACGTCTAGGTACTCACATTAGTGTTGATATCGTCAGGGTTACTGATGGTGGTCAACTTGGCCTCGAGAGTAAACTGGCTCCTGATCTCGTTGTTGGGGTCAGGAGTCCGGTAGTGGAGGCTGGACGAAGCGGTGTACACGACTGGGTTACCCTGTTGAGAGATAAGACAGGTAAATACAGGTAATTACAGGTAAAAAGGGGGGTAAATACAGGTAAAATATAGGTAGATGTAGGGGTAAATTCAGGTTAATCTAATCAGTGGGTTGTTAAGGTAAGAGTGTAAGTTAACTGATTGGTATGTTTTTACACACACACACACACACACACACACACACACACACACACACACACACACACACACACACACACACACACACACACACACACACACCTCACCTTATATTTGAGTGTAAAAGTGAACTTCTTATCCTTGATGGCAGTGAGTATATTATGATACACCATCACACTGGGGTAATCCTCGAACGTCTTATTGGCAATGTCGTAGATCCAGTGACGGCAGGAGGCATACTTTGTGATAGGGTTACCATTTGTGCCATTTGTTGAGCTCAGGAAACATATCTCATCGTCACAATGGTGGAATGACCTGTGGGAAATATAGGACTTAGAGTATGTTTAGGATGTGTGTGTGGGGGGGGGTATGAGAAAGGTTGAGTGTGTTAAGTGTGTGTGTGAGGGGGGAGGTAGGGGTAAAAGGAGGGAGGGGACAAGAGGGGTCGTTTAGGGTGATGGTATGACATAGAAGGGACGAGTTTGAGGAATATTGTATTTATATGTATGTATATGAGAGAGAGAGAGAGAGAGAGAGAGAGAGAGAGAGAGAGAGAGAGGAAGTCGTGTAGTGGTCTCTCTCTCTCTCTCTCTCTCTCTCTCTCTCTACTTACTGACACATGAAACCCATCTCCTGAGTACAGAGGGCAGCACAATCCTCCAGTGTCTGAATATCAGTATAATCAGGCTCTTTGTCTCCTGGTACCTGAAAGGGGTGGTCCACTGGCTCCCTGAAGAGGTAAAAAAAAAATACAATGTTAGAATTACAGGTACAGACATACAATGATACAGATATACAATAATACAGAATAACTTATGATGATCTAAAATACAGTTAAGGGAGAGACTATGATAACGGATGGTTGGTTACAGGACTTGAGTTACAGATTAAGAGATACAGAGATACAGTGAAGTAATATGCCTTCCTGTGTGAGAGAAATTGTACAGGATGTCTGTCTCTCTCTCTCTCTCTCTCTCTCTCTCTCTCCGTTTATACATTCCCTCTCATTCTCCCTCGCATAGAAGAGAATAGGTATGGGACCACTCTCTCTCCCATCCATCCAATCTTCCTAACCCTATCACCCTCCTAGCCTTTCCATCCGACCCTCCCTCTCTACCTTCCCCATTCCTTTTTCACCCTCTTCCCTTCCCTACATCTCCTTCACTCACCTGTAGGAGAAGAGGTAAGGGGCTCTCTCCAACAGCTTAATGGAGACGAAGATAGTGTCAGCATCAGTAGTGTTGGGAACGAGACCAGATATTCCATCATTCACCTGTTGGAGGATAATTACAACAGGTAAGGGTAATTAAGACAGGTGGTGGAGGGGGAAGGGGGGGTGGGGGTATTAACAATGGTTTGTATCGATCATCTACTTCCACCATGAGCTCACCTCAATATCGGCTATCCTGACGGGTGACATGTTGCCTATTTTGGTGAGTAAGAGGATGATATTGTGCTTGAAGTTCGTGATTTGGTTCTTTATTAAGATAAACTGCTCCGCTGGTGAAATAAGGGGAGTCATATGAGTTAAATATATCCGGCTATTAACATCCAGCCATTAAATATTATATATATATACAAGACTAAAACATTTTGTTGTTAAAATATCTAAACATCATAACAGCTAATCATAAAAGCATCCGGCTATGAAAACATCCCAAGGCAAAAACATCCGGCAATTTATGAACCTACGCTGCGTGGCGGGAAAGAAAATGTCAACGAAGGACCAGCGATCGTCGTGCTGTTCGTAACACTCCTGCACCGAGAACTCCTGCTCAGAGTACAAGTTTATCTTCTGGAAATCGTAGAAATTGGTGACGCTCGCTTCTACCTCCTGCAGCAGGGACGAGAAAGAAAGAGAGAGAGAAGGTATTAGGTAAATATGAATAATATAGTGTGGTGTCGATAATATTAACACACACACACACACACACACCCACACACACACACACACACACACACACACACACACACACACACACACACACACACCTGCATTATGTTGGTTCTATTGTAGACGAAGAGATCACGTCTCATGGGCATAGTGACGGGAACATTACCAGCTGGGGTCACCTCTATCCCCTGGAACATAGGTCAAGAGGTCAAGGTGAGGTCAGTTGAGGGTGAAGGAGATCAAATAAGAGTAGAAAGAGGTCAGAGGTCGAGCATGTGTTTCTATTGAGAAGGTCAAGAACTATCGTAATTTTATCTCTTATTTCCCCTCCTCTCCTCCCCCCTCCCTCCCCTCCCCCCCCTCTCTAATCTTAACTGCTAGATATCACTTTACACTTTAACTACAATGCTATACAGTACACTTCATATAGGATTCTGCTCTGCTCTGCTCTGCTCTAGCTCTATCCTGCTCTGTTCTGCCCTGCTCTGCTCTGTCCTGCTCTGTTCTATCCTGTCCTGCTCTGCTCTGCTCTACCACAGCCTTGAAGATCCACAAGCAATGCACCGACCACCCCCCCTACCACTCGTTCCTTTACTTATATACCTCATCCTCCAAGGGCCCTCAAGTAGTTACCTGAGTGAAGTAATAATCGAGGACAGCTTTCGGGTAATCAATCGTCCCTCCTGTATCCGGATCGGGTATGTCGTCTAGTCGGGTATCTGTCCACATGTCGCCATCAATATGTCGTGTTGGACGCTCCCCGACATAGGAGTAAGACTTGTCGATGTGAAAGAGGTCGTTTGGAGCCAAGAGCGACCCGCCGGAATTAAGATAACCAGCTGTGAGGTGATGAGAGAACGGGTTAAACCAGCTGTGAGGTGATGAGAGAACGGGTTAAACCAGCTGTGAGGTGATGAGAGAACGGGTTAAGCCAGCTGTGAGGTGATGAGAGAACGGGTTAAACCAGCTGTGAGGTGATGAGAGGAGTGAGGTGATGAGAGAACGGGTTAAACCAGGTGATGAGAGAACGGGGTTGCAGCTGTGAGGTGATGAGAGAACGGGTTAAACCAGCTGTGAGGTGATGAGAGAACGGGTTAAACCAGCTGCCAGCTGAGGTGATGAGAGAACGGGTTAAACCAGCTGTGAGGTGATGAGAGAACGGGTTAAAGCCAGCCAGCTGTGAGGTGATGAGAGAACGGGTTAAACCAGCTGTGAGGTGATGAGAGAACGGGTTAAACCAGCTGTGAGGTGATGAGAGAACGGGTTAAACCAGCTGTGAGGTGATGAGAGAACGGGTTAAACCAGCTGTGAGGTGATGAGAGAACGGGTTAAACCAGCTGTGAGGTGATGAGAGAACGGGTTAAACCAGCTGTGAGGTGATGAGAGAACGGGTTAAACCAGCTGTGAGGTGATGAAAGAACGGGTTAAACCAGCTGTGAGGTGATGAGAGAACGGGTTAAACCAGCTGTGAGGTGATGAAAGAACGGGTTAAACCAGCTGTGAGGTGATGAGAGAACGGGTTAAACCAGCTGTGAGGTGAAGAAAACAGTCAGCACACATGTGGCAACTTCACGGATAAGCTCTCTGATTGGCCAGCAAAACAAAAGAAGCCCTCTGATTGGTCAACAAGGCAAAGACGTTCTCTGATTGGCCAGCAAGACAAGAGGCTCTCTGATTGGCCAGCAAGACAAAAGAAGCCCTCTGATTGGCCAACAAGGCAAAAGACGTTCTCTGATTGGCCAGCAAAACAAAAGAAGCCCTCTGATTGGTCAGTAAGACAGAAGAGGCTCTCTGATTGGCCAGCAAGACAAGAGGCTCTCTGATTGGCCAGCAAGACAAACACAGTCAACCAATAAGGAAGAAGCTCTGGTACTTACCGAAGTGGGAGTCGAAGCTGTACGGTGGTATGAAATCGAGGGAGCAGTTACCATACTCCCTGTTGACCGTGTATTGGACACCTGACTCCCCCATCCAGAGTCATCAGGGGTCACGTAGGGTCATCAGGGGTCACGTAAGGTCATCAGGAGTCATCACAGGAACACGCAGGGTCATCAGGGGTCAGCAAAGGTCACGAAAGAGCGTATCATGAAAGTAAAAGAAAAAATATATGTAAGAGAGAGAGAGAGAGAGAGAGAGAGAGAGAGAGAGAGAGAGAGAGAGAGAGAGAGAGAGAGAGAGAGAGAGAGAGAGAAATGAACAGACGAAGAGAATAATAAATACGAAAAAAAGATGAAACCTGATTAAATTACCTATATTAAACACCACACCTGGTTGACTCACCTGTGTTGAAGTCGTGAATGATCTCCACTTGGAAGTCAGAGATGTGACCTATGTCGGCCTTAGGTACGTAATTTAAGCTAACCAGAGAGATCTTGCCAGCGTAGGTTAGCTGTGGAGAGAGGGGAATATCTGTTAGCTGAGGTATAGCTGTGGTGGGAGAGGATGATGCACCCCCATACACCACTCTCATACAATCCCCCTCACACACACACACACACACACACACACACACACACCCCTTCCAACCACACCTCCCTCTCCTCCACACCTGTACACACCTGTAATCGATCCAGTTGTTGGTTACCGTAGGATTTGCCTTCAATCTCCGCGTGTTGTATATCCTCTAGAGACAAACTAAAGTGCCAGGGTATACTCGGGATCTTGATGGTATTGATAACGCTCACTCTGTTCTCACACGACAGTCCTCGGGGTGTCTGTGAGAGAGAGAGAGAGAGAGAGAGAGAGAGAGAGAGAGAGAGAGAGAAAAAACAGATTAAACACACACACTATACACACTACACATTATACACACTACACACACTATACATTATACACACTATACACACTACACACACTATACATTATACACACTATACACCGTACCTCTAGAATATCGTGAGACAGGACAACGGGAGCAAACTGAACCACGTTGTAAGACAAGTGATCAGAGCCGTCCATGTAATTAATTTCAAACTGTACAGGGATTCGGCCATCACCATCAGTGAATTGGTTGGTCTCTGGCATATTCCACCCCCTCTCTGTCAACAAGGGGAGAGTGTTAGGTTAGGTTTTGGTTAGGTTTGGTTGAGGTTAGGTTAGGTTTAGTTAGGTTTTGTTTAGGTTAGGTTGAGGTTAGGTTAGGTTGAGGTTAGGTAGGGTTAAGGTTAGGTTAGGTTAGGTTAGGGTTAAGGTTAGGTTAGGTTGAGGTTAGGTAGGGTTAAGGTTAGGTTAGGTTAGGTTAGGGTTAAGGTTAGGTTTTGGTTAGGTTAGGTTGAGGTTAGGTAGGTTAGGCTTAAAAGGTTAGGTTAGGCTAGGTTAAAGGAGGTTAGGTTGTGGTTAGGTTAGAGGTTAGGTTGTGGGAGGTTAAGCTAGGTTAGGTTAGGGTTGAGGTTAGGTTAGGTTAGGTTAGGTTAGGTTAGGACAGAAGGGTTAGGTTATAGGTTAGGTTAGGTTAGGTTAGGTTAGGTTAGTTGAGGTTAGGGTTGAGGTTAGGTTAGGTTAGGTTAGGATAGGTTAAGGATCTGGTTAGGTTAGGTTAGGGTTGAGGTTAGGTTAGGTTAGGATAGGTTAAGGGTTTGGTTAGGTTAGGTTAGGGTTGAGGTTAGGTTAGGTTAGGTTAGGATAGGTTAAGGATCTGGTTAGGTTAGGTTAGGGTTGAGGTTAAGTTAGGTTAGGATAGGTTAAGGGTTTGGTCAGGTTAGGTTAGGGTTGAGGTTAAGTTAGGTTAGGATAGGTTAAGGGTTTGGTCAGGTTAGGACCCCGCACTCACCTGAGAACGTAAACATGATCTCAATAGCGCCATCAGATGAGCAGGTCCTCCAGCGCTCACACTTGACCCCCTCGATCATTACGTCCCCGTCGACAAATTCCTGCAAAAGACCATGACACCTTCGGGTTAATCTCTCTCTCTCTCTCTCTCTCTCTTTATCATTTTTCATAGCTAAGTACTGACACACACTCTCTCTCTCTCTCTCTCTCTCTCTCCCTAGCATAACCACGTCCTCAGTACTCACAGTGTTAAGGATGGTAGAGAGACGGAGGATGCTGGAAGGGCCGTAGTTCTTATCCCCGTGGGTCAAGTTACTGTCAAACCACCCCCATGGCTCAAACTTCGGCTTTGCCCTGTGTAACCACGTGATTAGATTATACAGGTGACCCAAGTATAACTACGCGAGTCCTAGGTTAATTGGGTGTCGCAAAGGTGTGTATCTACGTGAGCATAGTGAGGGTGACCTTTGTGTGGCCTTTATAAGTGTGATCTTTATAAGTGTGGCCTTTATAAGTGT